GGATGACCACGCCATGGGACACTTGTTGGTATGTATTGACGTAAACTAATATTTCGATAAACGCTTTTGCCCAAGCCTTACATGCAAGAAAACAAATATTACCCAGATGAATAAAAAAGGTAGAAAACACACCGGAATATGTATTCATAAATCATTACTGTTCACGAGTGTCCTTAAGGCGACGGATCGCAGCCCGTGTCGTTGCGGCAGCATTGGTACTTCAGAGTAAAAGAAATATGGACTTACATGTACACATAAGCACCACCTGCGACAACCTTTCTGCAACCCCGGCACTCCCAAATACCAACGGCTTTTCTCTTGAGGGCAGTTTTGCCGCAAAAATTGCAGCAGTATTTTGCATGCTGAGATACCTCAATTTTTTTAATCGTCTTTCTGAGAGACGCTCCGTACCTCGTCCCATACTTGCCAACGATTCCAACTTTCTTAGTTCGTTTTGCCTAAGAGATAAAAAAAATAAAGCAAGTACCATGGGCAAACGTGACAAGAGCGCGCCGGAGAAGAGGATAAGTAAACAAAAGTGTAATAGAAAACCAAAAATATTATTTAGGTATTTAAGATGATTAAAAAATCGTATAGTACTAATAGTGTGTTTTTTTATTAATAAAACCAAATACATATTTTACAGAATTCATCTATTAGTTTATTTTTGTAGTGTCCTTGTGGTGCTTTTTTGTTTTGTTCACTCGTGCATTGCTAATGCAAAGGTAAAGTACCCTTACATTGCTCTTACCCTCTTCTATGTATACTCATAACTATATTTCTATACTATACTGCCTAAGACAGTTTGGTCAGCTGCAATTAAAAAAAATTAATTTGAATGTTTTGTTTTATGCTATCCATTATTTGCTACTCAGTGTTATTTGCTCCATGGCTAGACACGGGTCAAACTTGCTAGTATATCTGAGAATTTAGATAGGTAATCCATTAGCTTTTATTTATCTATATCGATATAAATTGCTTAAAATTTTATATGCGTTCATTACATTGCAGATTTTGGGATGCTTTGCAAGAATTGTGGTAACATCGAATTTTATGTTGATGAAAATACCTCTGA